CAAAGTCAGCACAGGCCCTTTGCAATTTGATGTCAAGTGCTTCATGCTGTAATTAACTAAGCAGTGGAACTCAAAGGAAGCTCCAGGAGAAGGCATCGGGGCATTGCATACTGATTGGTGGAATTTTAGGGATTTAAAATTTCTGTTTTATTGTATGACTACACTTTATTACCATTTTATCCTTAAAATGTAATAAGTACAAACTGTTTTAGCAATGATAGAAAAGCTTCCTCGGCTTTAATGAAAAATTTTATTAGCTACTACTGAAACTTTTATTATTTCCAAATGGTAACATAAACAAGAAAAATAATCACTACTTTTATTTAGAGGAAACTTTAGCAATTTGAATAATCTGGTTTTAGGTGGTGGTATGGTGCTGTAGGATAAGCACTCGACCACAAGGTTGGCAGTTCAAACTGATCAGCCACTCCTCAGACACCCTATACAGGATCACTATGAGTCAGAACCAACTCGACGGCACTTAACAACAACAACAATGAACAAAGACATAAACAAAAAACGCTCATAACCTCTGAGTTGTTTCTGACTAATAGCAACGCTATTGGACAGGGTAGAATTGCCATATAAACTTTCCAAGGTAATAAATCTTTAAGGAAGCAGAATGCCATATATTTTTTCACATGGAGTGATTAGTGGGTTAGAAGCACAGATCTTTCAGTTAGCAAGCAAGTGCTTAATCACTATACCAACAGGGCTTCTTTTAAGGTACTTAAGAGTTGTCACAGTTCTGCTTCCTGTCTTCATTTATTTTTAATTAACTAAAATAAAAAATATATACACACATTATTATAAAAGTATTCTCTAAAATGGAAACATACTTCCACCCTGAACTATCTGATTAATTTCTAGTTACCTTCTAAACTTCCACCACTTTTCTGTCAGCTTGTAGTATTGGGGTGGCTTGTGAGTTGCTGTGATTCTGGAAGCTATGCTATGGGTATTTTAAATAACAGCAGGGTCACCCATGGTAGACAGGTTTGAGATGAGCTTCCAGACTAAGTCAGACTAGGAAGAAGGAGTGACAAACTACTTCTGAATATTTAGTCACTGAAAATCTCATGAATAGCAGAGAAACACTGTCCGATACAGTGCTGGAAAATGAGCCCCTCAGGTTGGAAGGCACTCAAAATGCGACTGGGAAGAAATGCCTCCTCAAAGTAGAATTGACCATGATGACATAAATGGAGTCAAGGCCGTGGGAGTAAAGCCCACGGGACCTTCATTTACTGAAGGGGCACAACTCAAAATGAAGAGAAACAGCTGTAAACATCCATTAATATTCAGAACATGCAATGTACTAAGTATACTGAGCAAATAATATGCTGAGCAAATAATACTTAATAATATCAAAATATTAAGCAGTTATGGACAACTATCCACTATCAGATGATGGTTTGATCTGGATAAGAATTTCTGTATATTTAGGCTTTCCACGTATCTCAGCTGAGAGGCCATGAGAGGACATACTGTAGAAGGGTTAGCATCAGACTCTGAAGCTGGACTGCCTGACTTCATGTTCCAGCCCTTCCTAGCTGCAAGAACTTTAGAAACATATCAGTGAAAATGAAGGTGACAGTAGAATCTGTCTCCTAAAAGGATGTAAAGGTTAAAATGAGGTATTTCATGTAAAACATTAGACTAGAGTCCAGCACTTGATAAATGATTAGTTCTAATATATCCAACTGTAGATTGCATGTCCTGGTGTGGCTCTACAGGATAAGCACTGGACCACAAGGTCGGTTTGAACTATAAAGTCAGAGGTTCATACTCATCAGTTGCTCCTTAGAAAACCTATACAGAATCACTATGAGTCAGAACTGTCTCGATGGCACTTAAAAACAATAACAACAAACTGCATGTAGTCATTAGGTGGTTCAAATGGTTAATACGTTTAACTGTTAACCAAAGGAGCCCTGGTGTGGTGCTGTAGAATAAGTGATCTCTTGCAAGGTCAATCTGAACCACAAGGTCAGTGGTTCAAACTCACCAGCCACTCCTTAAAAACCCTATACAGGGTCACTATGGGTCGAAACTGACTCGACAACACTTAACAACAACAGCATTGACCCAAAGATTTAAGGTTTGCATCCACCCACAGGCATGATGGAAGAAAGGTCAGGTGATACACTTCCAAAAACTTAGTCAATGATGACTCTTACGGAACACAGTTCTATTCTGACACACACAGGATCTCCATGAGTTGAAACTGACTAGATGCCAACTAGTTGACTATATATGCATTACCAGGTGATGCCACTTATTCAATTACCATTTTGTTGAGTTTTTCTTTACGTTGAGCACAGTTCTAGGAAAAGGGGCACAAAGTTTAAGAAGATGCGGTGCCTTTTGTCCAGAAGTCTATAACTTTAGTGCAAAATAACTGTTGTTATCGTAATAAATTTCTTGAAAAGTACCATGAAGCACCTTCTTTCACAAGATCACAAATTTTCCTTCTTTCCATGTGCTTGGAACTAATGAAGTTTCAGAAGAATTTTCCTCCCGTCTCTAAAATCTTAATCATCTACAATTTAATATGCAGTTACAGGTGTTTCCACATTTTAAAATAGATGATTAAATGGTCTAATCAGATTCTAACTTAGCCCTAAACTTGAAAAGCATAGAAAGACAACCATGACTGACACATTCATTTCTTGCAAACAGCAGTTACAGAAAAATAATGCCATTTACATCCCACACAACCTCCAGTTAACCAAATTGTACAGTTCAGTATCAAAAATATAAACTACTTAAATGAAATCTGAAGTCCTTGTATGAGGCTCTAGAATAAGCACTGAATAAGAAAGGTCGGTTTGAACCACAAGGTCAGTGGTCCAAATTCACCAGCCACTCCTCAGTAATCCTATACAAGTTTACAGTGAACCGGAACCAATTCAATGGCACTTACTTAACACCACATTTATTCAATCTGTATGCTGAGCAAATAATCTGAGAAGCTGGACTATTTGAAGAAGAAGGAGGTCTCAGGATTCAAAGAAGAAGACTCATTAACATCTGGCAATATGTAAATTACACAACTTTGCTTGCTGAAAGTGAAGACGATTTGACTCACTGACTGATGAAGATCAATATTACAGTCTTCAGTATGGATGAAGAAAGCAAAAATACACAGAGCATCATGAAAAATGGAGAAAAGATTAAAGTTGTCAAAGGACTTCATTTGGCTTCAATCCACAATCAACACCTATGGAAGCAGCAGTTAAGAAATCAGACAACATATTACATTATGCAAATTTGCTGCCAAAAAACTTCTATACAGTGTTGAAGAGCAAAGATGTCACTTTGAGGATTAGGGACCACCTGACCCAAGCCATGGCATTTTCAATAGTTTCAGATGCATGCAAAAGTTGGACAAGGGATAAAGAAGACTGAAGAAGAATGAATGCCTTTGAATTATGTCAAAGAATATTGACAGTATCACACACTGTCAGAAGAACTAGGTAATTGGTCTTGGAAGAAAGATGGCTACAATGCTCCTTAGAAGTGAGGATGGCAAGACTTTGCCTCATGTACTTTTGACATATTATCAGGAGGGACCAGTCCCTGGAGATGGACATCATGCTTGGCAAAGCAGAGAGTCAGAGTGAAAGAGGAAGGCCCTCAAGGAGGTGGGTTGACACAGTGATTGTAACAATGGGCTCAAACATAGCAGTGATTGTGAAGCTGGCAAAAGACCAGGCGACGCTTCATATTTCACATCTATTTTTCAATCCTCCATGAATGAAAATTTCTAAAGGGGATATAACATCAGTGCCAAAAAAGCAAGAATGGGGAGGAAGGAGATAGAATGCTGAGTTGGAAGCAACTCCATGGCACCTAACAACAAAGCTAACTTCAATCTGAGGCAAAATAAGAAGCTAATTTAATTGCAGCTATATCACTTTCCAGAAAGTTTTGATGCTAACTTCCAACATGTTTTTGTTTTTTTCAAGCATTGTCGTTTTTGTCATTATACTCAGAGAATTCATTAACAAGTAAAATCTTCAAGATGAGCATAAATTCCAAGCACAAGAATTAGTGTAGTATTTCAGACATCACAAACTCCAAATGATGTTAAATAAGTTGTCTTCTGCTAATTTGCTCTTGAAAATGTGCAATAAATTCAATTAAAAAGGAAAGCATCTTTAAATTAGTTGCAAGATCAACTGAGATATTTTTCTGCTTACTAGATGCATCATAATAAAATCCCATCTAATATGCATTACATTGTTAAATTCAGAAGGAAATTGGATATTCTCCAAATAAAAGGATCGAGGCCATTTTTTTTTCCGTCAACAGCCAATAATAGCTCTGCTAACTTTCTAGACTAGAATAAAGCATTGTCAGAAATAGGTCTTCCGAGCAGTCCCCCTACCTAAACTAAGGAAAGAGCACAATAAACACACAGGCATACAAGCACGGTCCTTCCCTCCTTTCTTCTCTGGTCTAAATAATTTTTAAAGGTCCCTGAGATCCTTTTACGATTGTCCTGAAACAAGGGCATCCCTCACAGTGAAGCCTCCTTCAGCATTAAAAGAACGCACCCTTCCTTCTTACTCAAGATACACAGGTGGGGATTTATCATAGCCTCTCAAATCTCCAAAGGAATGCTTACTTTGGTAACATCTACTTTTCCATTTAAGCACATATGTTCCACACCACAGGAACCTCTTGATCCCATTTAACATCTCTCCTTATTGTATGCTTGTCTTTCACATCCATTTTTCAATCCTCCATGAATGAAAATTTCTAAAGGGGTTAATATCAGTGCCCAAAAGCAAGGATGGGGAGGAAAGAGATAGAATGCTGGAATTTCAGCCATCCTCACCATAACCCAGTATCCTTACTATTTTTTTTTTCTCTCCTGAGCCCCCTTCTCACTCTCCCTCTCACCCCTTCCCTCCTCAGCAGGAGGGAGGAGGAGGGGCCTCCGGATGAAGCTGCCACCTGCCGTGCTGTGAAAACCTCCAGTTGTCACTTACCCAGCGGGGTGAGAATGGCTCATTTTTGCAGGATCCCTTTTAGACCCAGCGGCAGGCGTGGAGGGTGGGTGCTTGGGGCCCTGTGTGCGCTGTCGCCGCAATAGTGGCGCTTGCGGAGTGGCCCCGCACTGCGGCCGCGGTGCACCCGACACCTGGGCTGGGCCTCCGTCTCCCAGGCCCCCACCCGCAGACAGTATCCACAGCCTGCGGTTGCTAAGGGAGAAGCAGAGGCGCTGCTGGAACAGAGTCTGAGTAAGCTGGAAGTGAAAGTCCACCTTCCACCTTTTTTTCTGGGCCCCAATGTAGCTGGAGACCTGTAAGCACCCAGGACTGTTGCTCTGGTGCACTGGTTCCCCAGACGCCTGTAATTTGAAAGAATACAAACACACACCCTTTAGGCTGGTGTGCTTCCTGCCAGGAGCTCAAGGGAGTCTCTAGGTGGTGGCTGAGGGCAACAGAACAGCTTCAGTCTGATACAAGGTTTCCAGTTTTAAAACTGACCCTTGATAGCACATTAGAAAGAAAAAAATTCCTTTTTTTCCCCCAGTCTGCTTTGGATTATTTTTTTGTCTCTGGATCTGCAAGACATTTCAATAGACTCATTTTATTCCTGGGAAAATCCCCACCCTTAACTACAAGCAAAAGTCCCCACTCCCAACAGGAATGGTTGACAGCTTTGACTTTCAGAAGGTGGGAGAGATGCAATTCCTCAGTAAAATGTTCTAGAAGGAAGATTGTATTTGAGTCTAGTAGATATAAAGCAGGGTTTAGATGAAGAGGCCTGGATTTAATGAAGGCCTTCGTTGGGAGAAACTTTATACACTGGATTCAGATGACCTGTTTTTCATTGTCAGGTTTTCAGCTGTGTGACTTGACCTCTAGCCTTGGGTTCATCATATTTAAAGAAGACTTGGGCACATCACTGGTGACTGAGCTCTGTGTGGGTTTCTGTTCTAGCTTAGCCACACATACTTCAGTGGGGGGAAGGGTATCACCTTGTTAATAATGGCAATTCACTTTTCTAGATAGCATAGAAGCTCACTGAGCATGACAGAATCCAGTCTTTTCAGCATGACATTCAACACCCTTAGTCATCGGACCCCTTTCTCAACTCCCATTATCCTCAGCTACAACATACACATATTCTTATCCTAATTCTAAAATGGAAACATATTTCCACCCTGAACTATCTAATGAATTTCTGGTTACCTTCAATACTTCCACCACTTGTCTGTCAGTTTGTAGTACTGTAGTGGCTTGTGAGTTTCTGTGATTCTGGAAGCTATGCCATGGGTGTTTTAAATACCAGCAGAGTCAGCCATGGTGGACAGGTTTCAACTGAGCTTCCAGGTGAAGACAGACTAGGAAGAAGGAGTGACAAACTACTTCCAAATAGTCAGTCGCTGAAAGCCTTATGAATAGCAGAGAAACACTGTCAGATATAGTGCTGGAAAATGAGCCCCTCAGGTTGGAAGGCACTCAAAATGTGACTGGAAAGAAATGCCTTGTCAAAGTAGAGTTGACTCTAATGACATAAATGGAGTCAAGCTCCTGGGAGTAAAGCCCACGGGACCTTAATTTACTGATGGGGCACAACTCAAAATGAAGAGAAACAGCTGTAAATATCCATTAATATTCAGAACATGCAATGTTCTAAGTATGAAGCTAGGAAAATTAGAAATTGTCAAAAATGAAATGGAATGCATAAACATTGATATCTTAGGCATTGTTGTTGTTGTTATTGTTGTTAGGTGCCATAGAGTTGGCACCGACTCATAGCGACCTTATGTACAACAAAACGAAACACTACCCTACAGTGGGCCAACCTCACTATTATTGCCATGCTTGAATCCATTGATGCTGCAACTTTGCCAATCAACCTCACTGGGGATCTTCCTCTTATTCTCTGACCCTCTACCTTACCAAACATGATATCGTTCTCCAGCAACTGGTCCCTCCTGACAACATGTCCAAAGTATGAGAGACAAAGTGTGGTCATCCTGGCCTCCAGAAGCACAACCTACCTAAATTTACACACAGTGAA